GGAGCTCGACTCCCCGCAGCACACACTGGAGGAGTGTCCTGCCTTCTCCAGGGAGAGGCGGGCGCTCCGATTGGCGGTCGGGTGGGACCTCTCGCTCCTTGCCGTGGTCGCTGCCATGGTGGGGAGCGAGGGGTCGTGGAAGGCGGTGTCTTCCTTCTGCGAGACCGTGGTCTCGCGGAAGGAGGACGATGAGCAGGGTCGGGAGGTGACCGACCCCGCTCGCATCTAGAGGAGGAGGGCGAGGCGCGCCGGGGGTCGGCGGCTGGCCGCCGCCCCGGCCGCGGGGGGACCTGGTGCCCCCTGAGCCCTCCCTCCTCTCGGCCGGTCGCTGGGCGACCGGCGCGACGCGGCGACCCCGCACGATTGGCGACGACGGGCCCTTGGGCTCGCCAGCCTGTTGCGGGGTCGCCGGGCATGCGGGGGTGTATTGACACCCCTGCCCAGAAGTGCCCGCGCTGATGCCGCCGCCGGGGGGGAGACGTTAGTTCCTCCCGGCGGTGTGCTTTCTTATTCCCTGTGTGGCGGGGAACAGAATACGTCCACGGTAATCCCTGCCTGTCGTAAGAGGCGACTAAAAAGGGACCGTTGGGATCGCGGGACTGTGGCACCCGCGGTCCGGCGGGGGGGGGGGGGCCCTCTGCTTCCCCCACCACAGAGAGGGCGCTCCGTCGCCAACTGGCGGAGCCGGCGCTGGGGAGGTACCGGTTGTGTTCGCAAGAGATCCCGGTGCCTCCCCGCATAGCGCCGAGCCCGGCCACCGTGAGGGTTTAGTGGGTATTCCCCCTGGGCTTCGCCCTATTGGGGGTGAGTCCCACACTACCCCCGCCCACTCCTCCCACATTGGGGTATGGCGGGGTTGTGCGCAAATGCATTCCCTCATGTAAAAAAAAAAAAAAAAGGAAAACAGTGTTCTAAGAAGTTGTTATAGTTCAAATATTGTCAACTCACTAGGGTTTGTCGGGTTTAAAAAACCCGAGTTTTTGGATAAATTCGTACAATTGGGAAACCGGTTTTTAAATTTAAAATTTTAAAAACCGATTTTAGGTATTACGATTAATATGCAAAATTAATTAATTATTTCATTGCAAACATTAATATTTTGACTTGAAATCGCGTCGGACAGAAGCATTTTGTAGTAAAAGTTTACTGTAAAACTGATCTTCATGGCGATTGTTTGACATGATTGGAAGAGACAGAAAGCGGAATTGTTAGTATTTGAGGTAACCAATGAAAGAACAAAAAATTTAGATATCTTATTTGATGCCTTGAAAACGATAAAACCAAGTTCAGTAAACAGCACTAGACAGTAAGAGAGTTTTTTCTACTTCAGGCTGTTCCGTTGTAGACCCGAAACGACGGCTTTAGAATCTGACATTACCGTTATCTTTTATTATTTTATTTCCTTCGTTCAAGTAATGTCAATTTCGTTGACACAAAGAGAGTAATAGACAAAAGGAGCGAACATTTCGTCTGCAGTCCGCCATATGCGCTCGGTAACCTGGGACCCATCCGCGCCGGGCGTTACCGGGGCGCGCTGACTCGCAGACAATACGGCTATAAACCCTACCGTTGAGAGACTCGAAGCTTCGTCGCGGTCAACTCGCACCGTGACCACGTGCGCGATATTTTACTGACGTCCGCTTCACCCCGAAGGAGAGGTTTTCCACCTCCACGTCACTTGGAAAAACCGAGAAATTTGTCTTCCCCTTCAGGGCATAACCAATAAGGAAGCGAGGTTTGGTAACGCCTTCAGCGAATTTGGAGGAAGCGACGACACACGAAAATCAGACTCAAACCAGAACTCACCCGGTGAACATCACACACACACAGACACGCACACAAACACACAACTTGTAAATACAGTCATTACGAAACAATCTAAGTGTGCTTTGTTTTCGGTTTCGAAATTCTAAAGATCGTGTAACGGTTCGGCAATTAAGTGCGAACATTGCATGACCTAACACAGGCAATTTTGTATGTAAAATAAGAACATACTTAACTAATCGTTGAGTGGACATTTCGTATTTTTTGTAATCATATTTTCTGAAGACAAGTACTAAATGAAATAAAGATTTATAATTTATATTTTGTACGTTAGCTACTTTATTATATTGTATTTAGTTTATTTTTTAGTTACTTTAATATGTTTTTAGTAGTTTCGTATTGTTGGGTAAGGGTTCCTCTAGTGCTCGTGTTATATCCTGTTAGGAATATTACCTCTTTTCCTTGCACATTTTTACCATATTACT